AAGTGAGATTTTTTTTATTATTCTAAATGTAATATATATATATATATATATATATATATATATATATATATGTATGTATGTATTCTTATAATTTAAAACATATAGAAAAAACACTTCAATAATTATAGACTAAATAAAAAAGTAAAAATAAAAAACTAATAAGGAAATTCATATTTATTAGTTTGTTTTAAGATAGTTCAATATAAAAAGGACTAATCAAGTTCTTAGTTTTTTTTGAATAAATCAAGTGAGATTTTTTTTATTATTCTAAATGTAATAACCCAAATTTGTTATTTTCTCATTTCTTATCCTAATAATAATAATAATAATAATAATAATAATGCCTTATTTACATAGATCAAATCAACTAAATTGTTTCCTTCCTTCTAAATTATTTTTTATATGAAATATAAAGTGTTTATAATTATTAATTAATTAATTATTATTTTATTTAATGCTCAAATGCTAAAACTTATTGCTTATAAATTTCTTTTATAGATGTATAACTTCTATCATTTTAATTTAATATATTATATGTTATTTTTATTAATTTATAAACTTTAATTAATTTTTTTCTTAAACCTTAGACTTATGCTTTGCATTTTGCACGCCTTGAGGCTTACGCCTTAACATTTTATACCCCGATTTTGCAGGAAACAAACGCAGCGGCAACTCCTATCCCCCAAACCTAGAAACTCTGCTTCACATATAGCACTTAGCCGCATAATGGGAATATCTCCTGTATTATAATTCATATTCATTGGGAGATGTTCTGAATGTGCGGCCGGATTGATGCATTTAGAGCTGTGCTGAGTTTTTGCTTGCAGGGAATCCCGTCGCGCATTAACCCGCCAACTGAACTGCTTATTTCATTTCACCTTCGTGAGTCAAAGTTGCAGGTTTTATTTCTACGCTTGCAGTTTGACAAATTGTTCGATTCACAAAACTATCTAAATCCAAGGGGAAGATCCTTCGGTCTCTCCTCGCAGCTCTCTTGTTATTCTCTGCATATCTACTTGGATTGAGGTATGGATAGGAATTCACAGAGAGGAATGGAGTCGCTTCAGCTTCAAGGGGTGGTTATAATCACTCTGCCACCCGAAGACAACCCCTCTAAGGGTAAAACAATTACTGCAGCTTTTGCTCTCTCCGGTCCTCCTTCCTCTCAAATTCAGCAACAAGCTCGACAACAACCACACCCACAACCAGAAGAAGACAGTCTTCCCATTCGATCATCACCAAATTCTGAACGCTATTTCTCATTTAGAGGAGTCTTATCTGGTAAACCAAAACAAATTCTGAGATTTCTGGCTGTTTCCGTCTTATTGTTATTCTTGTGGAGTTATGCTTCTCCGGAAACCCTTCTTGAATTACGCGATCACGATGAGGATCGGGAAACCAATTCTTTCGTTTTCACTTTGCATCCCAAGCCGGGTACTCTTGAGATGTTCCATCGGGATGTGGAACTTAAATTAGGGAGGTTTGTCGAGGCAAATTCAGATGCTGTCCTGGTGATGTTCAATGGTGGAGTAAAAGATGAGGAGTATAGAATTTCTCTATCGGCTTCTTCTTCGTCTGCAGTTGATAAATCCACCGTTTTCCCTGTCAGGGGGAATATCTATCCAGACGGGTATCTACATCTCGGAACTTAGTTCCTATGTAATTCAAGGACTATTAACGAGTGCTATATATTCACTTAATATTTAGGATATCTTTGCAGGAATAATTTACATTGTTCTTTGTTCAGAAACTGTCTCACAAATAAATTCTAATCATGGCTTTAATAAATATAAGCATAAAGAAATTTCCTAACATAATAATTATGCTTCCATTTTCGTGTTTTCATGATAAGCCACCTCTATGTAAAACTGATGTTTAGTGAAAGGAGTAAACTATGTATAGTTGATATCAGAGGTGGCCTATTTTTTGAAAATAGGGATACACAAGTATAGGAAGGTGCGTGCATAGAAGGATGTAAATTGATGTACAATGTTTAATAAAATAAAACAGCCCTACCCCTTACCATTTACCAAGAAAGAAAAATGAATTATTCATAGAGCCGTCACTGGACAATGAACCCCTTCCTACACTTGCTCTAGCAAGCGCATCTGTCATAAAAATTCATTTCCGTTGGGATCTACCTGATTTGAATTGGAATGGATGCCAAGAGTTCTCTAATTTTGTCAATAAGACGCGATGGACTTCACCAAATTCTTTTGCTCCATCTAGTCCCATTGTCTGTGTTTCCTTGAATTACTATTATTTTTTTTCTTGATAATTGAGTTTCCTAGAATTACTATTATTTTTTTTTCTTGATAATTGAGTTTCCTTGAATTACTATTATTTTTTTCTTGATAATTGAGTTTCCTTGAATTATGAAAGATGTGAGTTGACATACTTCACCTCCAAATATATCAGGGGAGGGAGCAGAGCCCTCTACAGGACCCAGGGATTGTTGAAGTATCTCAGGCAAATTCTATCTGAGGTCATCAGATAATACAGTTCTAACCTCTTTGCTTCTTAGTAGCTATGACCTATGAACTAGGAGAAAAAGAATTGGTTTCCTCTCCTGACATCAGGGAATTTAGTTTATTTCATCTTAACTTCCTGACATAACAGCATATGTAAAATAGATCTATACAGTTCTCCCTTGACCCCAAGACCACAAGTCTTCCATTGGAAAAGCATATCTAGAAGTTGAGTTGTCACCAACTCAAAACCCACCACCCCCATGGATGCCATAGTCTCCTATGTTGTTTTATCCTTGATAAGGAGGCTTCCAGCTTGGGAGGTTTGGGAACCTCCACCTATCAATTTTATTAAGTTGAACTTTGATGATTGTGGCTTGAACAATCCAGGAGATTCAAGAATAGGTGATGTTTTTAGAAATATTCAAGGATTGATCTGGATTGTCTGTTGGAACCAATAGTATGGGAGACTTTGTTGCAGGGGCTAAGATGCTAGGATATGATAACCTAGTAGTCAAAGACAATTCACAGGTGGTGATAGACTGATTGGGAACAAGCAATCCAGGGAGGGAGGGAGGGAGGGAGACGAGGGTACATATGTTGGTTAGTCTAAATGGGAGGTGGGGGATGAATATACCTCTTTTAAGGAATCACCGTAGGTGGAATATATTTGGACAACCTACCTTTGAAACACATAAATGCATCCACCACAAAGTTAAACAGCTAGTCAATTGAATAGATGCCTTTTATTAGAGTAGTTATCAGTTGCAATTGAAATTATTTAAGTATATAATGGCAATCTGTGTCTCCAAACAATGTTTGACAGGTTAGACATTAAGTCATTAACACGTGATCTGTTGTTTAAAAATTATTTCGGTACCTATGCAAAGATCTTTCTGAAAAAACATTGCATGGTTTAATATTGGATTTATTTATTCCTTTTTATCCTAATTGAAAATAATCTCTAAATCTAACCTTAAATATGGAGCAACCTACAAGTTCATCTTTTTCCTAGGTCTTTCCTTCCCAGAGGAGTTTTTCTTTCTTTGTGTTCGTGTGTGTGTGTGTGTGTGTGTTGAGAGGGGGGGGGGGGGTTGAGTGGGTGGAAATTCTATTTGTTCAATACTTTAGACCATGCATTTTTAAATCCAGATATTGGCAGAGTAAATTGGTTTCATATGGCACTCAATCAAATCCTTGAGTAAATTGGTTTCACAAGGCACTCAATTAATTGACCATTTTGATTCCAGCTTAGATTTTTTGGTTCTTGCTTTAGAGTGTAGGCCCATTGACATTTACCAATGGGAGAGTGACCTGTTGACAATCTATAAGGGTTGATTTTACTCAGGTACTAGATTATATACATACAGACAGACACCAATCAATTTATCTGTCTACATCTATATCTTACAGATTGAACTAATGTGTATTTTTGTCCTTGTTTTACTTTTTCCATTTTGCAATTAATATGATGGTGTCATGTCATCTCATGCCGCATTTCATCTTTTATGCTCTGCAGATTGTATTATGCATCTATTTACGTTGGCAGCCCTCCAAAACCTTATTATCTTGACATGGATACTGGGAGTGACTTAACATGGATTCAGTGTGATGCTCCATGCATTAGCTGTGCCAAGGTATGCAAATTGGTAGTTTAAGATGTCTCTGTACAAGTTCCTCAGGCAATCCATGCTTCTCATGTTTGAACACAATACGTATATATGACAATATGCGTGTATCAGAGTGCTGCAGAAAATTGTTCACATCCATGTATGTACATTTAATCTCTTATAGGTGCATGTGTGTGTTCTCTGCATTCAATGGCCATTATTCTTTTCTTAATTTTCCACAAGTTTTATTTATCAAAAAATTTTCCACAAGCTTTCTCTCACCTGTGCTTTCCTGTATAACTACTTTCAAGAGGATAAACTAAATGCAACTTCTTGTCTCTCTCTTTCCTCATCTTAGAAATCAACACATGAAGCACTCTCATGTTGCTACAGATATTTTGGGATGTGCACCATCAATATTTTTAAAGGAAATAATTTATGTAGGGACCCCATCCTTTGTACAAGCCAAGTAAGGGGAAAATAGTACCTCCCAGGGATTCATTGTGCCTAGAAGTGCAGACAAGTGGATCTTGTGAGACTTGCCAACAATGTGACTATGAGATAGAATATGCAGACCGGAGTTCCTCCATGGGTGTTCTTGCAATGGATGACCTGCCACTTATGATTGCCAATGGAACAGAGGTGACATCAAATTTTGTTTTTGGGTAAAGTATTTCTTCTTCTCAAGCTAGTTCTTTTTACATGTCATAACTCATAAGACCAAAAATTAAATCCATGCTTTGTTTTTTTTTTTCTTTTTCTTTTTTTTTTTTTTTTTGCAATGTTCCATGTAGGTGTGCTTATGATCAACAAGGACAACTTTCAGTCTCTCCTGCAAATACAGATGGAATCCTCGGACTTAGCAGGGCAAAAATTAGTCTTCCTTCTCAGTTAGCAAGTCAGGGGATTATCCGTAATGTGGTAGGCCATTGTATTAGAAGTGATAAAGATGGAGGTGGATATATGTTTTTAGGTGATGACTTCATACCTTGGTGGGGTATGACTTGGGTCCCCATGCTTAGCAGCCCTTCCATGTGAGTATAAATTTCTTAGTTTCTTCCTTTTATTGAAGTCTATTGAAATTATGTTTGTAGCACATAACAAAAATGCATATTTAAGTATTCATAGGTTATGTGTACCCACCAAGGTTCAAAATATCGATACAGCCGATACACCGGTAGGGGCGTATCAGCCTGTATCGAGGCTCATTTTTCCCTTTTTTTTAGTTTTTTTTTTTCTCAATCTGGTTCAGAGGGGTCAGTGGTCTACCCCCTGAACCATGGTCTGACCCGAAACACCCACTGTAGGGGTGTATCGGGAAGCCCCCAATACGTTACATATCGGCCAATACGGCCCGATACATATCAAAACTTTGAACCTTGGTACCCACTATCTATTCTTGATTATCCAATTACCCAGTTATTATTTCTTGCATGCACATGAAAATCTGTTTGAGATCATTTATGTTTTTCATGTTTATCTTGTGTTGAACACTTGAACCTTTAACTTCCTATATTTTCTTTTGTATTTGGTTTTTGGGAAATTACCTAACAATCATGTGATTATATACCCTCATACATATATCACTTATTCACTTGCCTTAGGAATTATATTCTATTTCTTATAGTTTCACTATATCTTATTGTATTAAAATTTTAATTGTTTCATCCAGGAATAACTTCTATCACACAGAAATCATGCAAATGACTTATGGAGGTGGAAAACTCAGTCTAGGTGGGGTGGATAACAATGTAGGACGAGTAGTTTTTGATAGTGGCAGTTCTTACACATACTTCACTAGGGAAGCATATTTGGGTTTAATCGCGTCTGTAAGTATTTTCACCAGAATTTTTGGAGAGGTCATGCTTAATTTGTTTATGAGTTTTAACCAACCACAAGAATTCTGCCATGCAGCTTGAAAATGTTCCTAGTGAAGAACTTACTCGAGATAAATCAGATTCTACCTTGCCAATATGTTGGCGAGCTAAATCCCCAATTAGGTATTTTCTCAAAATAAATAGAAGATTTATGAAAGGAGGTAATTTTTGTTATAACTATGTTACTAAATGGTCGACAGCTTGGAGATGTATCATTTCCAGGCTACAATTTCTGATTATAATACAAAGTATTGGTCAATCTTTGGTTCAGAAACTACATGTAGAAATAAGAAAAGCATATAATATACTGTTTGTTCTTGACGGTTTTATTTGGACAAAAATACCCTGGACATTTTAGGCGGTTATGTGCTCAAAAATACATGCATGATGCATGTTTTGAAAACCTAAAGTGGATAATTTGGGAAGCAAATCCATCATGTAAGGCAAAATAAGACAGAAACTATCAAATATTAGAATATCACTCTCAATCACACTGAAAAATGTTCCCTTGCATTCATGAGAATATGTACATCAATGTGCAATAATAGAATAGGTAAGGAGCTACCACTATACAAGGCCCTTTCCACCCCTCCCATACCAAAAACAAAAGATAGGTAAAGATCCACCATACAAAGAATGCCCTTTCCACCCCAGATCAAGCTAAGCCATCTGTGGCCTCAGTTAAGGCTGCTTCCAATCCATCTGATTGCAACTAAGGGTGCAGTTAGGATCTTCTAATGTCATTAACAAAAGAGTTGTGAGCATAGAGATACAATTAGAGGGATTAAACAATTGGCAAGGAAAATAGGAATGGCATTTACATGGAGTCCAAGGTCAGCTAATTGTGCAGCTATTGCCTTGGCAAGACAGGGGCAGAAGGAACCATTTATATTGGGGTTTGACCCCTCAAGGGAGGGAGCTTGTAGTGCAGAATAAATATTTCAACCAGGATGTAAAAGGGGTGGACAGCATTGGCAAGCCCTATAGGTGGGGTGCTTGGAACATTATATATGTACAGCATTCTTTTATAATATTTAATAAAATGGTCTTGTAGTTACTAAAAAAATAAAATTATTTTGATACTGATCAAAAAACGTTCCCTTGTATTTATATAAAATCCTTGGAAGAATAATTACTACAGAGTACAAACACACTCACAAGTAGACATACTGATGCAGGACAAAAATTCCCACTATGAAAAGAAAATTCAATTACTCCTAAACTACTTAATTAGCGATTCTGAAATTTGAAACACAACTAAACTTAGTCATACCAAACTCTAAGACCAGACCCCCAAAGATAAAATCTAAAATTATGAAAATATCCCTACTGTCAAAAATACAAAAGTGCATTAAAATTCAAAAGTTTCCAATTTTGACTTTTGGCTCCTTCATCATTGCACAAATCAATAGTACAGGATCTAGAGATACATATGTACCAAAATATGTATCATGTATTATCTGATCAGTATTAATCACACTGTAAACTTAGAAAAAAGGCTTCCACTTTTATTTTAACCTTTTTTCTCTTTTTGGGAATTGTTCTTGTTATCAGCACCAAATTTTTTATAGTTTTCCTTTCATACCGCAGATCTGTTAAAGATGTTAAACCATTCTTTAAGCCCTTGACCCTTCACTTCGGGAACCGATGGTGGATTCTCTCCACAAAGATGCTGATTCCTCCAGAGGGGTACCTAATTATAAATGTAAGGACGACGTATCTTTTACATTTGTATTATTTCTCTTGAAACCCTTCACTGCAAAATTTCTCAGTTTTTGTGACTCATGAAGATGGACTTGCCACTGACTGAGGCATTACTGCAGAAGAAAGGCAATGTGTGTTTGGGGATCCTTGATGGAAGCAAAGTTCATGATGGATCCACAATTATACTTGGAGGTAAGTTCTTCATAGTTTATACCATATCTTAACTCATTTTTGTTATTGATGTTTTCATTACGAAGTTACTCGGTGCATTACCATAAACCTTGAATTACTGCCAGATACAAAGGAAATTATCCTATATCGTCTTTTCTTGTTAGACACAAGGGACATGATCCCATTCTGTCTTATTTGCCTTTTTGTTTTAATTATAATACCAAAATATTTTCAGACTATAGTTTCTCTTCATTGCCTTGGGAATGAGATTAACTACTATGCTTTCTGCAGATATCTCATTGCGTGGACAACTGGTTGTGTATGATAATGTCAATGAGAGAATAGGGTGGGTCCGATCAGATTGCATCAAACCCCAAAAACTGGAGAGTTTTCCTTTTCTCTAGCCAGTATATATGCATACAGAATTATGTAAAGCAACCAGTATATACGACACAAACCATAGAGAATTTTCTGCATAATCATTCACTCTTGTTGTACACAGTCTATATTTTTGCTCTATTACTGAGGATACTTTGTACATACTACTAGTTCAGTAACCATGCATGCTGAAAAATCCTATATCGTGTCTATAATGCATTTCCTACGTCCTTGTCTTACACAAATTACATATTCTTTGCCCATTTTTACCCTTTTCTGTTTTGATATTCTTACTTGTACTTTTCAGATGCTATCACTAGCATTTGTATTTTCTCATCCTATTTCTAATTATTCAACGGCATCATTTTTTCTTCTTCTTTCTTCTAAACTCTGCCTCTTCACACAACATCTCCACCTCTGGACAGCAACAACGGCAGCAGTAGTGCCTGTAGCCCAGTTACAAGTTGCAGAAGCTATGCTGTACCTTCGGTCCTCGAGAGAGCATTTAAAGGCCGCAAGTTCTTTTATTTATTTATTTTTTTTTTTCGTTGTAACTGTTGTGCACCAAGAAATTTGATTGTGGTCAAAATCTGCTTGCTCACCCTTTCTCTTTTTTATTTGCTGATGTGTTCTTGGTTTTCTTTAATTTCTTTTTGGCGATTGGGATTGGAATAAAAACAGCTATTGTGTAGGTATATGGACAGACATGTTCTATTGGACTTTCTATTCCATTGTCTTCAGCAGGATATTTATGGTGTTTCTTCTGTGGTTTAATGAAATCCTTTGTTTACCAAAAAAGAAAAAAAGCAGGATATTTATGGACTTGTCGACTTGAATCAAGAACCCCCATCGTTCATTTAATAGTTACTCTTCCCGAACAGCTTTATATGTATAGATCAGAGTCATCAGAGACAACTTTCATGGCAATATACCAATATCAGATTTTGACAGTTTGGGCGGTTACCTTCTAAATCAAGTCTGACAGCTTCATCGCTGCGTTATTGCGGTTGTTTGGCATCGATGCATTTCAGGGCCGATTCGTTTCTTAGAGAATAGCCTAACGGTCAAAAAAACATTTTGCGACCGTTTCAACCCTCAATCTGTTTCATTCTGTTTCATGCCACAGCAGCACTGAAAAAACGTTTCAGCTGGAATGGGCTGAGTGCAAGCCGTTTCTCTTTAGTGTTTTTTTGTGGTTGACATTATCCCATGTTACACATGTGCATGGGATGCATAAACATGTTCTAATCTAATGGTTACAGATTCTAGTACAACAAAAATATATTGAAATCCATCAGTTAAATAAAATATAAATGATCATTAAACAGTTATTAATCACTGAAATAATGGTTAAAATGCTATTATACAATTAAAAATAATACTAAAAACCTGTATTTTTTATAGAAAAATAAGATTTAAACATATATAGAAAAAAATCTATTGAGAAATTAATACACATCTTAAAAATAATATTTATTAAATCAGAATATATTATTACACCATCAAAATGGATTAAATAATGAAATTTATTTTAATAATTTAACTTAAGATGACTCAAGTAAACAATTAGTTCTTTGTTCTTGTTGCCATATAGGCCATCCAAAAGATGAGTCCAGTAAATAATTAGTTACAAGTAAACAACCACTCATGTAAACAATTAGTTCCAATGTAGAGCTGAATTCTGATCCAGATATCAGTTAACTCTCTATCTGATGGGCCAGTTAGATATCAGGCTTTGCAGCCCAAGCAAACCAATACAGCAACACATACGGATTCATATGCCAAATAACAAGAATACTTGGGCAAATCCCAAAATGATCTTCATCAATTCTATCTGCCTTCACCCAACTACAGTACACCTACCCCTAGCAAATTTTCAGAACTGTCACTCTGTTAGTCCACTCCTCATTTAAATTTTCAGAACTGTTAGTCCCTTAACTCATCCATGGTATCATGTTCAAAGAAAACTCTGGACTCATTTAAATTTTCAGAGCTATTAGTCCACTCCCTTACTTCAAGCTCCACAAACATTTATCTAGCAAATTCGACAAACATCTTAATGAGCCACCCTCTTTAATATCTGATTTTCTTTTTCTTTGTGTGATGCACCTCTTCAATCTGAATTGAGAACAGGCAACCACTACGCATAAGAAATTTAAGAATTTCTTTTAACACCCTTCCACACCCATCAAGCATAAAAAATCGACCAAGGTTTAGCTGAGTGCTTTAGTTGTTCACCGGGCTGTGGAACCAATGATAAGATTCCACACCAGTATTTAAATGTATGGGGCCCATATCTTTACGGTGGAGCCCATGAATTTATTACTGGTGTGAAACCTCATTATTGATTCCACAGCCCGCTGAACAGCTAAAGCATTCAGCTAATCCAAATTCTAAGAAATCTAAGCTTGAAACTGGATTCTTAATGTTTACAATAGAGCCTCGATTTTCAGACCTGGTATGACCCAAATCCACACCCACCCTTCCAAAAATCCGAACTTCAAAACTCTACATTCATCAGAAATATGATAGATTCAAGGAAGCTAAGTCAGAGATGATCTGTATCCTCATTAGACCACATCCATCCTCTTAGACCACACCACCCTTAACCCCTTCCATTTACCAATGGTTGATTATATTCAAATCCAGATGGCATAAATCAACACCTGAGTCCTAGACTATTCTAACTACTAACCAGTAGGCAAGCATATCATGTTTAGTGCAAACTGTTCATAACAATATGTCAAACTTCTTGAATTTTCAGTAAAAATCTGGGAAACACCGAAACAAGCAGAAGAGAACCCACTTAACGTGTTCCACAATCTAAGGTTTAGACCAGAGCCCATACCAATCTTTACAATGCAAGTATGTAACCATCCCACCCATTATAGAAATTATCTTCTTCTGAACTAGGAAGACTAAAAACAATGAAAAATGGAAGAACAGGAAAATAGAGAGAGAGAGAGAAAGAGAGTTAAAATCGCCCAAGTGGTCACAAAGTGAGCATCGTAGGTCACAAATCACATTTTTCCCTACCACAGTGGTATCTTGCCCTTCATATAATTGCATGATCACCCGTTACGGTTTTCCTGAATTTGTACTTCCAGTGGTTCTCCTGCCTCTGGAATCTGTTGTTATCCAAACAATACGTCCTCACTGATGGAAGCTCGGCAGTTTCTCAAAAATTCAACCTGAACCAGTATCTCAGATGTCAATATTAACACTGTCTTTCTCTCGTTGGTAGTACAACCTGGGGTAAAAGTTCTATCGAGGCATAAATGGAAAATTTTGACATGGCACTAGAACTGAATGAAATCTAACTAAAAACTCATACATGTTAGTTATATAGATACAAAAACATGGAAGCACTCCAAGTAATAAAAGTAGGAAAAAAAAGAGGTCCGTTGTGGCGAACTTCTAGCAGCTCAGTCACACGTTTCTTCAAGACAATGTGGATGCAGCTTGAACTAATAAATCAGAGGGAAAATATTCCTGAACAACAAGCATGTCTAGCTAGACATCATTACTTGTTCACTTGTCTGAAGTGCTTGGCGGGCAAAAAACCTAACATCCACATCTGGGTCCTCGCTTAGCTCCACCAAGCAAGGCCGGATTGTCTGCTCCACCACCTACACCACAAGATAATTCCAAATAAATCTCCAAATTTAGCGGTTGTGTACAAAGTAATAACGGCATCTTTATGTAAGAATTCCATGTAATTAATTATCAAAAAAAAATCCATGTAATTACTTACAGACTGGTCAACTATAGGAATGAGTGACTGCAACACCTTTGCTACATTGAATTTGATGTTTGGTACCCTATAAAGTTCAACATGCTCAGCCGAACACCCTAACACAGTCAATCTTCCACCAAAAAGCTTGAGAAATATGGAGCCTACCTGTCCTTTGATGCATTGGTTACCACTTGTAACAGTTTTGAACAAGTGATATCTGAGCCCATAACGGGTGCAAGTAGAGAAATTGCATTAAGAATGGTCATCCGATACAAATAGTGTGGGTTGTTGGCCATCTCAAGAACCTGCCAAGACATGCTAACATATTGCTTCATGAATAGTTAACCAAGAAAGGAAAAAAAAAAAAAAATAGGACAATCAATAAACAAAGAACCACATCTCAAACCAGTCCTTAAGTTCTCAACCAGCTCACAGACAGCACCATTGTACACTGAACAACAGTATCCCATGGTTTCCACAAAGCTTTTCAGAAGCTCTGACAACATACTATTGTACACAAGTTGCAGAAGCAATCTAAGACAATCTTTAGGAGGCACGAAATAACCAATAATTTGGTCCAGTTACCAATAACACATTATATTAGAACAGAGACCAAATAATGGAGAAAAAACTGTCAGCAAAATTATTCCCCGAGTTTCCCGTCATTTGGTCTTTTGAAAGACTCAAAAGGCCACCTATCCTTAAAAGGATCACATACTTCATTTATCATCTTATAATGGATCACATACAGGACCCAACTTGGATATTGATAATAATAACTGACATGGTCCCCCATACACACAAAAATATTAAATAGATAAATAAAAGGAATGGAAAAATGCACAATGATAACAGCTATTATGCAGAAGATTCAGACCTGTGGAATTATATGTTGCATTGTCCAATCTGGACCAAATTCTTCTGCAAGACGCTTCAAATTATTTGCTGCTGCATCACGTATTGAGTAAACCTGTAACAGGTTACCAAGATAATAAACTAAGAAGATACTGATGAAAACTAAACCGCACTTGATTTATTTTGATCCCATAAAGGACTAGATGAAAAACAACAGGCACCATCAACAACAAGAAACACAAATGACTATTGCAGAAACAGGTAAGATTTTTCTCAGTATCTTTATCCTAGAGATTTCCATTTGATCAATTAAGCAGTAGCTAGGGTCAAATGTCATCCAATGCAAAGAGGACTGTCAGTAATCAAATCTGCAGTAATGCAAACTTGTAGAAATCGTTCCTATATGAAACTAATGCTTATCTTTTGTTTTGGAGGTGAAACAGAATAGGATAGAAATCACAGAAAAACTAACACAATCAAGCACATTCAAAAGTAAAATAAAACAAACTTCAGATACTTAAAGAAGCTAAAAAGTAATTCTAGCCTGTACTCTGTAGAGGATATAGGACAAAACCAAGCAGGTAAGATAGAGTTGAGATGTCATGTATGTTTCCCATTTTTTATTAGCCATGATTTGGAACTTCACAAACCTTGTCTTCTAGCCATTGCATGCAAAGAGCACCAAGCTTATCATCAAAAAATCCTACACCCAACTGACTTGCCAATAGTGGTATGTACTCTATTATTGCAAGCCGAACCCTCCAATGTCTATCTTCGGCAAGCTCAACAATGGCTGGGAGCAAAGATTGGGACAGCAAATCAATTCCAATCACCTGCAAAGAAATATCCAGCAATATTAGAAAAAACAGAAGAGAGAGGAAATAAGTTTTGTTGATAAATTTGCTAATAGAGTTTCTAGTAATACTTTAATCATCTGGAATCATACCCCCATCTTCTAACCTAAAACCTTGAAGGGCACTTCTTTAATTCTAAGTTTAATGCAAGGGTAAATCTATGATGTCAGAAAGGTATGATACCAGAACAGTTTTGACCAATCAAAACTCGCTTATGAAGTTTGATGAAAGTGAATTGATTGGTTATCACTTTTATGATACCGGTTGATTGGTTATAAGTTTTTCAGATAGCATGCCTTTCCAGTATCATAGTGGAACCCTAATGCAATTAGTTTTGAAATGGAAAATTAAATGAAATATGTCAATGGTCAACTACACAACTAAAAATATGACCATGGCTTTGATTGAGCTCATGGGAGACCAACCTGATTCACTTGATCAAGCTTGCTAATAATATTGAGCCGTACATCAGGGAACTCATCTTTTAGAAGGGAAAGAAAAATTGGAAGAAGTTGCTCAATTGTTGCATCCTGCATCAAACAACCAAATAAAAGTTAGAAGTCCAACAAACAGAAGGAAAAAAATGAGAAGAGTTTTTCTTAATGCTCTAAAAATAAAAGTTGGATAATCCACTAGTAAGCAATATTTCATGATCCATGTGCAATGCATTACCACAAGTCAATAGAAAACCAAACATATGAGTAATCACAAAAAATAGCAATAAATTTAAGCAGACAAATACCATTAAAATGACGGGGATAGCCATTTATGACCTCTTTCGCATGCTTTTGTAGAATTACTATATTTGCATACATAATAAGTACTATATGACCACTTTAATCTTCTTGACTGCATAGCAACATGCACCCCTGTACAGTACCTTACCTTTCCCAAGATTGGTGCCATTCCCATTATGACTGAAGCTAAAGCAGACCGTACATGCTGGGAAGAATCAGATGATAATTCCTATAAAATGTAAGATTATTTAGTTACAAAGTTAGGAGATGGAGAGAGAAAATAAAAATAATATTCATAACATGATTTCATACACAAACAAAAGCTTTATGCTCTACACAGAACATAATTGTCAGGGCAATGCCTAGGCGACAAGGCGCTCATGGAGGGTCACTTTGCTTAGTCACCAAGTTAAATTGTACATGATGCTATGAAATACTTCCATATTCTTAATTTTTTGAAGTAATAATAAAATGGACATTGTTAAACTAAAATATTCATCTTGTGGGTTTATATACTAATTTCTTTTTATTCTTTTCTTATTTGTTGGGGTTCAATCAATACACATGTTGGTATATGCTGTCTCGAACCTTCAAAAGACTTAAAAACCTGAACCAATAAACTAGGAAGAACTTACAATTTTGCCCAAAAACACCTTTTCCTTTCTTCTTTTCCCAAGACAAAAATAGGGGCTCAGCCATTATATTTTCTGATTATTCTTTTCTTCTCATGAATATGATTTTCTATATTTAAATATGAAGTTTATAATTTTTATGAAATTTATAGATAATTATTAATGGAATGATGGTTGCTAGTTGCTATGGAACCTAGGAAACTACCTTATGATTCATGTTTATTATTTAAAAAAAAAAAAAAATCCACCACCTAGGCAACCCCTAGGTGCCCACCTAAGCGACTAGGAGACAAGGTGTTCCCCTGCCGCCTAGCCTTACCTTGGTACCTTGAAAACTATGACACAGAATGAACAACCTTGGAAATGTAAGTATATGGTACCTTGACACAGGGTAAAATATGTTGAATTGCAAGTTGTGGATTCAAGATACGGCAAAATTTAGTAACCTTTCCTGCAGCTGCTATACGTACTTCAGCTTCATTATCTCGAAGTAACCGAACATATGCAGGTACCAAGTCCGTCCTTCAAGCAATATGCGATTCACCGTCAGTGAAAAAATTTAAAAGGCATTCATAATAATCAATAGTTTAATGTAATGAATCAAAAAATATGGAAAATGATGATAAACAGAAGAAAATTGAAATTAAAGATTTTGCAACAGTTAGGAATGAATGATTCAATGAATATGGACATGATTGATACTTAATAGTTGTGAAAGAGAAACAAAGTATAACTGTAAGAATACTGGAAAAAAGGGGGCAGCATGGTAATTTTTCAATGACTCTTTTACCTGGTAGGTTCAGGCCCCACAGCTTCACAAAGCTCATATAACTGATTTGCAACCATGTATCGAACACGCCAAGATTTATCCTATCCAAAATTGGGGGTGGGGTGAGAAAAAGAAGTAAACTCTTATAGAACTGGAAAAGGCCAAATGGCCTCTGAACACCTACATTGGAAAACAAAATTATAGATTCTCAAACTGCCAGGTTAAAAACCACTTCATACACCTACATGGTAGAATAATGTGAAAGGAGCAAAGCAAGTGGAGAAAGTAAAAGAGCAAGCACAGGTTGCCACTTCTAAATTCTTCCAGTTGATTAAGGTTTCAAGGTTTGTCAAAGACAAACCTCAAGCTCCAAAATTGAAGAATGAAGGCAATTAAATAGCCAACTAAAGAAGTCATTTTAGTCATAGCTCCAATCAACAACTAAAAAGGGGTATTATCCAGGTAAGTACTTAACTACAAGAAAAGCAAATATAAATCATTCGAACTTAAATGGATTAATATTTTGCTGTTTATTTAAACGTATGCTGGGGTCCAACAGTAGCCACATAGCAGATTCAGTTATGAACTAATGTGAACTGGACCTCTATATGACTTATTGCTAGTACATCTCGAAGCCTGGTCCTTCACTTCAGGGATAATATTGCATGGCTTGTGAGTAGTGTGTGACCTACTATTATGGCATACACAAGAACAAGGACTACAAATTCGTCAGACATGAACAAGTCAAGATTCTCAAGAACATGAGAAGGTCTTAACCAGGGCATAGAAACAAGTTTTTTACTAATTATCTGTAAAATTACTTATTCCAGAGGGCATCCTTCATATGCTAAATGGGGGGAGAGAGGAGGAGACAAAAATATTGCCCAGTACAATAAGATCAAATCATCTGCACTTGTGACAAATGTACCTGAGAGAAATTAACAATGACAGGGAGGATATGAGCTACACAGTCCTGAGGTTCCAATAACTTCCCAAGTGCTGCACAACCCTCAACAGCCAATAGCCGAACAGAATCTTGATCTGAAAGGAAGTAAAATTCCAAGGTTCTAATATTAGTATCTTGACAAAAAATAAAAAGAGCATGCTTCACAAGTATAATGGTAAACTTAAAATGCAAAGCAAGGGTTAAGTTGATAGAATTTTATCACAGGGAATTTTTGGTAGGGTTGCAACTTGGGCGGGCTGGGTTTGACCATTTGCCAAAATTTGAATGGGCCCAGGCTATGCTATGTAAATTCTTCAAGCTCAGTACCCAATTTGCACCCCTAATTTTTCTTAGAAAATTAACAGTCACTTTTTTTGGGAACAATTAACACAACCAATGTTGTCAGAACCAGACTGGACTAGGTGGTAGGAGCACCAGAACCGGGAACCTGCACCTGAAATGATTTTTAGGATGCTACGGTTCTTAAAAAATCTACTTCAAATATATTAAGAATATATTATAACTCATAATATTTATTGTTTTCAGCTTATTTTGATATAAACTAGCTTTAAAATTTAATCTAAATTTGTTTTCTATTTTTTATTTTTTGTGTATTTTATTTGAGCAAGTAAGCAAGTCATTTCAGATGATCAGACTGTTCGACCCTTGACCCAGTGCCAAAACCAGTATTGTGTTCTGACAAAACTGAGCACAGCCAAAGAAACTTTATTAGGGAAGCAGATGAGGAAAACACAGTGATAATCACTGACAAAAAACAACACAACCAGAACTACTATATATAACTGTTTTCCCCACTCTCCCCTTGCCAATCCATCAGCCACAGAGTTTGCAATCACTTTACCCACTTGAACGAGCTTTTCAAGCTGAATGCCAGTCATTTCACTTCTCCGGTTTGATGTCAATAACTGAATCTTCCTTCACATGTTTATGCTCTAAGATAGTCAGATAGATTATCAGACCATACAGTACTGGAGCTCTTCTTGATTAATTGAAAGTTGGAACAAATCTCCTTGGCATTCTAATTTGTTTCCTAACAAATCTTCAAAGCAAGCCCTTGCAAGGAAATTGGAAAGAGAGGCGGCCACTGACAGGATAACTACAGATAAACCTAGCCAGAATCCTACTAGTAACAAACAACGGGTAAATGAGATTAAATGGGAGAATATTCAGGGAAGAATCCCAAACAAAGGAAGCTGTAATAGAAAACATATTTCTAAAGGTGGCTCACTGGGTTATGACTGCCTAGCTTTGCTCCCTTGTCCATAGAGGACATAATAAAGGGATGGCTTTGTATAGCAAACTCTAGTGCAGCAAGGAGAGCAATATCTTCCTCTTGGAAAGCTCCAAAGTGTTTTAAAAGCACAAGGCACAAAAAAAGTGCAAGGGTCAATTTGCTCCCGAGGCGCAAGGCAAGGCACAACTTTTTGAAGCAAGGTGCAAATTTAAAAAAAAATGCTAAAAATTAAAAAAAAAAGTCAAAATTTCAAAAGAAAAACAAAAGTATTAATAAAAAAATATAAACTTAAATTTTAAAATAAATGTTTTAAAAAAACTATTGTACAAAATAAAAATACATAAGCATAACACATAAAGCGTATTCAAATGAAAATTTAAAAATAAAATCAAACATATAAAGCATTTTCAAGCATGTAAAACCCACAATCTCTTTTTTTCCTCAGTTGCATTACTTCAAGTAGCTAATGTGATGTAAAACATATTGTGTTCCTTATTCTACGAGCTGCTTTTGTACCACGCCCCTTGAGGCAAGCCCAAACAAGTCCATGTTAGGGTCTTAAATTCTTAATTCTCACATTTTCAGGGCTCAACTGCTTACTGTACACCAAGGTTTAAAGCTGGGGGAACATTCTGGTTTATAGAAATCATTGCAGGAAACTCCTGGGTCATTATAAGCTGCCTAGCATATAACAGCCCAGGGCAATGGCAGTAATAGACATGTCATAAGTGAAGTAAGAATGTCATTGCAGGATTTGAGAGCTCAATTCCAATGGATTGAAGGGGAGCAAAGAGTTAGGCCGATGCTCTAGCCAAACAAGGGGTGAACAGGCACAATTGCATAGGCCAAGAAATAATGACACTAACTGAAGCCTATGTTAGATCCAAAAGACAACTATAGAGCCTCCTCAAACCAGGCATGTTCTTATTCTAAGTCCATTAAATGTTAAAAAAGAGGAGTCCATTAACTACCACCTAACTGGCACCTAAGTGCTTAAGCAACAAGGTGGTACAACTATCTTGTGACCTAGTCTCACCTTGCTATTTTGATACCTAAGGATCCTCCAAAACTAGATTGGTCACTTGTTCATTCCCCCAGTCTATGTATGTAAAAACCAACATCTATACCTTCCAAAACAAGCATAAATGAGTGCAAATGCAGAAAACATGAAAATTACTTCTTTTTAAGTTTTCTTTGATGAGCTTAAAACATGATAATATAAATTATTAAGTATTTATATGCACTAAATTTGATAGAAACCATTTGGGAAATGACAAATTCACCATCATTAAACAACTATACAACAAAGAGCAATGTACCATCCTGTGTAAGATCCTCAAATATTGACATGATATCTGTCTTCAGATGGGTAGGCTCAACTGTAGCAGCAAACTTTCCCAGGTTCGATGCAGCAGATCTTCTCACCATTGGCATATCATCTTGACACAATTGACTGTATATTGATCGTAGTTCTGTTTTCAACATCTCTGGGGCACTTGGATAGGCAATATGAAACAATCCACAAGAGGAAACTCGAGCTGTAAACCATTCACCAGCTGCCAGTCTCTGAAAGTAGGTTTTTATGACATGTCAAAATAAATAACAGTCATAAGATGAAGATAGAAACAAGAACAATGTTTTGACAATTTTTTAATAAAGCTTAGGGGAAATCACCAGTAACTGAAGCAATAGTAAGATTTGGATGAAAATAAATAAAACCAAATGACAACATGTATTAAATAAATTGAATTTTTTAGGAACTCAGAAAAACTAATCCAAAAGGAAATAAGTGGAACAATTGAACAATAATGAAAACTGGTTTTCATGTGAAACAATTTATTTTTGACAACTCGAAAGAATTTATATGCAAAGCAATCAAAAAAAAGAATTTATATACATTTTTCAACCGACGGAAAAGCCACCCATAACTTTTTTTCCATTTTTTGGTCCCAACATGCATAGACCTTCAGACAAGCATTACATTGTGATATAACAGCAATATGAGATAACATAGTTTACACTTAAAATCACCAACACGTATCAGTTAGAAAATGTTGCCCATAAATCTTTAGATAGAAAACAGAGAAGTCTTGGCACTCCTACAGGGGCTCAAACTGGCTAAACAACTGGGTTTCCAGCAGTTGGAAATGGAGGGAGATTCAAAATTGGTAATAGGCTGGACACAAACAAATAGTTTGGGCACCTGGTCCCTTAGACAACCTGTAAGGGAAATTATGCAACTAAAAAGGGAACTTGAAGTCTGTTTTAAATGGACTAGGAGATCAGCCAATGCAATGGCCGATACTTTAGCAAAGCGAAAAGTTAGTAGGGAGAACCTTTTTTGTGCGTTTTTGTAATTTATGTTGAGGGGTCACCTTGCTTATGAAGGTAACAGTTGTACTAGTCTTCTTAAAGAATTAATGAAAGTTACCATTTCCCATAAAAAAAAATAAAAAAATAAAAAGCTTGTACATTCAAAAGAATATCAAAAAAAGCAATGATATACATTTTATTGAAATGATTGAAAACCAACTCAAATTTTTCTAAAATGATTGAAAAACACTCATTGATTTTTTTTTGTGTGTGTCCTATCATACATAAACCTTCAAAGTAGCATGATATTGAGATAAAACAGTATCATGGAAAAATAAATCTGCACTGTAGATCAACACTGTGTCCCAGTAAGAAAGGTTGCTCTTGAAATCATGGACAATAAAGAACAAAATGGTTGACTTTTCCAAAAAAAAGACTCCATATGAGTAAATAAGTATCCCAAAAACCCAAAGTTTAACATTTTATGTGGTTAAATATTCTATGTGATTACCACTCAAAAACAGAATAAGTAAGAAGCAAGCAACAACCAAATTCAAACACAAACATAAATCAACCACATTACCTTTACCAGAGGAATAAACCATTCAACCAAATCACTCTCCTTCATCTGAGCTCCAATTCGACACAATGACTCCACAGCTTTGTCCCTCACACAAGTTTCCTCAACTGTGCAAAGAGTCTCCAGTGGAGGGAGCAAGATATTTGCATATTCAACTCCCCCTACATATGGAACAAATACCCCCAGCTCCTCTGCCATGGCGAGAAGTACTTCGTCATCATCATCATTGTTCTCACTGAGAAAAGGAATCAATTCCTTTCGCGTTCTCTCTTCGCCAAGCGCGCGAGCAATTGTGGAGAGCCTACGGATGGAGTTCAACCGCAGCTGAATGTCTTCATTTTTCAGCTCATCTATCAGAACAGCAATTGGATACAGCGGCTCGTCGATCATAGCCATTGTATCTCTACGAACTTATTCGGGGCAGCTGCTGGCTGCTGGGATGATTTTGGATAAGGTCCTAAATAAACAGAACGAATGAAGAAACAAAAATGAAACGGAAAAAGAAAACTCTTTCTTTAGCGCGGATCCTAATTTAGTTACAAATCAGCCCATATAGTGAGTTCTGGAATTAAAAACTTCCAATCAAACAACAGAAAACTCCTAGGAATACAAATAGAAAAGAAACTTGACAACAAATTGGAAGAAAAATCTAAGCAAACAATGACGAGATCCTAACCAACGATCGAGTTATTTCCTCAAATCAACAATTTGTTCCTCTCCAAGCTTAAAATGAAGACAAAAATTAAAATTTTAATCTTCTAAAAGCTGGATCTCGACAGCAACTAAGATCTAGCAGAAACACCACGGAAAATGGATGTTGATTGCATGGGGAAAAATGAAATGAAAATGAAACCCTAGAATCAAGGCATCCTATGTTCTCCTTGAAAGCGAAATCAGTATTAAAAGATAAAATGAAAATTGGAAATTGAATCTTCGTGAATAATAGAAAGCGAGGGAGGAGGATAGATCGTAATACCGTCTTGGAACGGCTTCCCAAATGCTGCCTCCAATTCGAAATGGCGTTCCTCGTCGGAAATGATTGAGAGAGAGAGAGAGATCCACGACGTAGGGACTTTCATAAATAAAAACTCTCACACCCGGGAGGGAGTCTTTTGGCGCACCAAAATGGACCAGATGTGCGTTTGTATGGGCTCGCAGTCGCAGGTCTCAGCAGTTTTTGGCTTTTTGCTGGGCTTGGGAATCACTACAAGAGCCCGTGGGCTTTAAAAGTGCAATTCGTAGGCTTGTTTGCATCCGTCCAATGAAATCATTTCATTTTGGTTTTAAATAATGAAATATTGGCAGGGTTTTCCAAACCATCTTGACTTGGGTTGATAATTCCAGAATATGTCGTGCCAAGATGAGCTTAAGGCTGTGTATGGTTTGAAAGAAAAAGGTAGAGAAACCTATAAAACTGAAGGAATGTTCTTACCAAATTTTGTGAAAAGAATTTTCTCTTTTTCCCTTATTTTCTATCGAATCAAACACAGGTTTAAGTTTATAAAATGAAAATAAATAAATGATTTCAAAAATATGCTACTTTATAATTTTTTACCGTTGGTCCAATTGGAAAAAAATCATGAACCGGTCCATCAGGCGGTTTGATCATGCCCTAAAAACCGGGGGTGATAAAAACCGGACAATTAGTCAATCCAATTGGGGAACTGATGAACCAGTCCCAGTTCCACTCAATTGTCTTATTGATTTTTTTTTTTTTTCAATCTATGCATCCCAAGGCGCCTTGGCCCCCTGTTTCTGCCAAAAATGCCATTTTGCCACAAATATTAACTTTCAATATAAAAATTAAAATTAAAACCAAACGTATGCGTTATAGCAAAATAGAATTATATATTATAAATATTATATATCATGATGTCATGGGTTGACTAATTCGGGTTCGCATCCGCCCCCCAAAAACGTTCCACGCGCGTGAGTGAGCCGCGTGTCTTCTTACACACGGATTAGAGGGACTCGTGAGCTAACCGTGTTTCCTCTCGCCCAAAAGGTCATCTTTCTCTTTTCAGAACACTTCAACCCTTTGAGTTCCGCAGGTCGACGCGCTCACTTCAACCTTCCACCTTCTACTCTCAGAACTGAAATCCGCCGGAGATTGTACCCCTTTGAATTCCGTCGGTCGACGCCGACGACCATTCTGAAAGCGAAGCATTTTTAACAGTGAAAAACGACGAAGAAGATGTCCACTCAAACGCCTTGTTACAGGTCCCCTGTTATATCCATTTCCTCAGTTTTCATGAACCCATTTTGCCGTTTGTTTTTCTTGCTTCAAAACCTACATAATCAATCAAAAACAACCAAGTTGTTCATTGAAAAAAAAAATAGATTTTTCTTTCGAGTAGGCGAAGATAGTTTAAATTGATTGAAAGGGCAGTCTTTGATGCCGTTATTCTGTGCAAGCCACGCAACACAACTCCCACATAATTTGGTAGTGAGAAGAAAGAATCTCACATCTAAGCATGTAAGCGTTCTGCTATTATCCAGTAGTAAATGCTGCCTAGCCGCCTCTTCCAGCAAGGTGGGTCTCTCAGAAAACGCTGCTTCTCTTTCAGGAACTTCTCCATCGATCATGGAGGTCGAAAAGTTGGGGATTATATCCTCTGAAATAGAGGAATATTCAACAGAATTGGATGTTGCTGTTAGAATCGTCCAAATGGCTTGCTTTCTCTGTCAGAGGGTGCAGGAGAGCTTGATTCCCAAGGGCAATAATCAGGTTAAATCCAAAGATGATAATTCTCCGGTCACAGTTGCAGGTAACTGCATCGACTGTCTACAAAATGGTTTCTTTTTGGTGATTATATATGCTTCGTTGTGTGCTACTTATTTTTCATCCATCACAGTTGCATTAAATAGAACCCTTGCTTTTATCCTTTTACTTATTATATTTTTTTGGCGAGTGTTCTTTCAGTTTTTCCCCTTTGTTATTATTTTTTTTTTCTTTTTGAAGGAAACGGTTCTGCTGCTAAACATGAAAATTTGTTATTTTTCTGAGGGACTGAGGGTATGGGTTCCGTTTCGTTTTGTAGTAGCCACATCTTGAATTTGTTGGTTGGTTGTGTTTTGGTTTACAACTGAAATTTGGGAGATTTTACCAACATAGGTAGATTTATGGTTTTGGTCAATGGAAGAGACAGAAGTTGCAGATGTTGCAGCGGTTCTAACTTGTTGGCGTCGACCCGGCGGAAGAAGGGGGCTCTCACTCCGGCAAAGATGAGAAAAAAAAAACAAAAAAACATAAAAAATGAGAAAAACTTACCTCCGGTAAATAAATCTATCGGAGTGATCGTCGGCGTCAACCGGCGGAATTCAAAGGAAGCAATCTCCGGCGAGTTTTTAGAAGATCGGATTGAAGTGTTCTGAAATGAGAAGGGTGACCTTTTTAGGCGAGAGGACACACGGTTAGCTCCGCACGAGTCCCTCAAATCCGCGTATAGGAAGACACGAGACGCACTCACAGCGCGTGGGACGTTTTTGGAGGGCAAAGTTTTGTGAGGGGCGGATGCGAACCCGACTAATTCGAGCTGAGCAGTTGAACCGCTGACCTGAGACAACAGTGGTTCATCTTCCCATATGGTTCTCTAAACATTGGTTGCACGTGAAATGGATGTGTTGGGTGATTTTCCTTTTTTTCAAAAAGTAGATACTAATTGTAGGAAATACAACATTATTCCTAATTTGCATGAACTTATTTTCTGAAAAGGAGATTAGCCCTCTTGAAGGGTCATTGCTTAATGTAATGGTAAAATCTTGAGCTGATAAATAAGAGAACGAGTTTTGAGTTGGCATGAGAATAGCAAAAAAAACATGAAAAAAGCATTTAAATTTTAGGTCCGCATACAATTAAGGGTGTAAACGGATCGAATTCGAATTATATCAGGCAATATCCGAATTCGAATCCAATTAGAAAATCCGATATCCGAATTTGATTCGATATCTGACGGATATTGAAAATTAATATATGAATTTGAATCCGATTAAATATTCAATTCGATTTGAATTCAGTTAATTAATTATTTTAGATAATTAATAAATATATAAAATAAATATTTTATTGATATAAAGTATATCAATATATAAATTATTTATATAACTTAATTATTATATATAAATTATATAAAATATTTTATATATTATATATAAGAATTAAATAAACGGTTGAATTTGGATATTTATCAAATCGGATCAGGCCATATCCAAAACTTAAAATTCGAATCTAACCCATAATTCAAAATATTGGATTCATGTATAAATATTAGATTGGTATATAATCCGAATCCAACCCATAATTCAATATATTGGATTCATGTATAAATGTTAAAGTTAATTATTTTTTAACGTATACACATTTAGTAAATTTATATAAATATTGTTCAGGTCATGGCTAAGCTGGTCCAGAGAGACACGTGGCCGCTCAGGCATCGCCCGGTCAACCCGGCCACGTTGGCATAGCTTAGCCAGCTCCGCGCCATACATGGATTCTGCAGCCTAGGCCGGGATACACTATTATTGTGGCCTTCCATCTTATCCTTTCAGCCACGTCAGCTACACATCACACGGATGAGCATAACTACGGATAAAGAGGAGTAAGGAAGACGACCCTGCCGGGGAATAGGACTCTATCCTGAATACCTCGGCAGCTAACCTCATCCCGACAACCCCGGAAGCCCAATCCGACCAAGACATAGATCTTCGGCTATAAAAAGGTACTCCATGCTCAAGGTAAGGGATTCCAACTTCTAATACCCATACGTCACACGGATGAGCATAACTACGGATAAAGAGGAGTAAGGAAGATGACCCCGCCGGGGAATAGGACTCCATCCTGAATACCTCGGCAGCCAACCTCATCCCGACAACCCCGGAAGCCCAATCTAACCAAGACACAGATCTTCAGCTATAAAAAGGTATTCCATGCTCAAGGTAAGGGATTCCAACTTCTGATACCCATACTATTACTCTGCTTGGACCAACTTCCTTATAGCTCGGCCCGACCATTCATCACCTCCTACTAACTTGAGTGTCGGAGTGCCTATCCGGGGATAACACCTCGAGCCTTTGACTTCTCCTTTCTTGATCCCAGGTCTTGAAGCGCAGCCTCGTCCTTGAAGCTCGGCACCGCCCCGTTGGCAAGGACTATCTGATTGCTATCCTCAATTCGTGCACCACCTCAGATTGGCGCCGTTTGTGGGAAATGCACAAAAAGCCTTCATGAAATCTCTCTCACCGCGCAATCAAGGAAGCGATCAAGATGCCAAGGAAACATTCTAAGTGATCAACAGGTCGATCCCCATCTCGGGTATCTCACTGCCACAATTCTCCACACCAAGAAACTCAGCAAAACCCAACCACGGTCCATCCCGCACAATTCTAGGCGTCCCACCTCTCACCCCGATGCGCATGAAGGATGATCCTCGCCTAGAGGACCCCAAACCGCGTCGAGCTGACAAGGGGCGGTGCGGTCCAATCAAGAAAGGCAAGACATAGCAAGAAAATCCGCCCCCTCCATCCGCTCTCGTGAGCCTAGCAACCACAGCAGGACACACCAGACAACGCGGATCCCCACCAAAGAAAGGCTCGGTAGACGAATGCCACCTCGCATGGTCTCCGTCGTCGAATCCAGCTCTATGAAGGACCGCCTTGCGCGCCCCAAGAAAGAAAGGGCAACACACACCATGGCTCCAGACCATAGGGATCCCGAAATCTAGAAACTCTGACAATGCCTAGAAGAGTTGGAGCACAGTCAAGTTTAGGGGAGCACGGCGCCGACCATAGATCAACTCGTGCAACCCATTACTCAGCTTGTCCGAGAACCACCATTCGTCCAAGAGATCATGGACGAGGTGCCTCCCACAAGATGGTGGGCACCCCAACTCGACAAATACGATGGGAACACTGACCCTACTGACCACGTCGAGGCCCTAAAAGCTCAATTGATGTTGCACGGTTCATCTGAGGGCCTGATGTGTAAGACTCTCGTGGCCACACTCAAGGGCCCAGCCCTAACTTGGTACTCCTCACTCACCCTACACTCCATAGCATCATGGAGTCAGCTGGAGACTCAGTTCCAGGCACAATTTATAGCAAGCCAGAAGCAAGGGAAAACCTCGGCTAGCTTCATGCAGGTGCGGCAGAGGAAAAATGAATCTCTCAGAGACTACCTAGCGAGGTTCAACACTGAAGCACTACAGGTCCGAAACCTGAACCAATCCGTGGTTGTCACAGCCATCCAACATGGACTCCGCTCCTCACCATTCAACTTCTCCATCTCCAAGCACCTCCTGCAGACACTAGCTGACCTAATGACTCATGTCTAGAAATATATCAATGCGGAAGAAGCGCAGGCACAGATGCCGGACGAGGAAGAAAGGCCCGACAAAAAGAGGAGAGATACCGGGGAGCGAAAATCAGAAAGATCAGATTAGGACCATGAGAGGTAGGATCGCCAACTTGATCATAGACCACGAACACCGCCGCCAACCTATCGGAACTTCACGCCACTCAATGCACCACGGTCTGAAGTCCTGATGCAAATCCGTGACACGTAGTTACATTCGTTGACCCGAGAAGATGAAAATGCAAGGCAACAAGAGGAACCACGACAAATATTGTGAGTTCCATAGAGACCACGGCCATGACACAGAGAACTACTTCGACCTGCGCAACCACATCGAAAACCTGATCAAGTGCGGGTACCTCGGTGGGTTCGTCGACAAAAGCGAGAAGCCGGAAGAACAGCACGCGAAGAATGCTCGGCCACCGCCTCGAGCTCCTCCTACTAGAGTGATCCACGTCATATCAAAAGGAATCGTCATAGGAGGAGAGTGTAGCTTGGGGTGCAAGAAGTATGCGCAGCTGTGCGAAATCGACAACCGGGGGCACAAGAAGAAGCGCGGCCAATCTATCACCTTTACCGACGATGATCTCTAATGGGTTCAAACCCCGCATGACGATGCCTTCGTAATCACAGCCGAGGTTGCCAATTTTGATATGTGGCGAATTATGGTTGATACGAGTAGCTCCGTTGATGTGCTCTTTGATGATGCATTCGAGAAGCTTGGCATAAACAAAAAGTGCCTCACCCCCATCAACACTCCCCTAATGGACTTCTTGGGGGAGTCCCTCTTGCCCACTGGAAGGATAACTCTTCCCCTCTTGATCGGAGATGGCGACATCATTGCAACGGCCATGGTGGACTTCATTGTGATTCGTTGCCCTTAGTCCCACAACACCATTCTTGGCAGGCGACCCTTAATGCTCTACAAGCCACGGTCTCCACGTTCCACCTCGCCATGAAGTTCCCCACCGAATACGGCGTAGGCGTAGCGCATGGAGACCAAAGAACTGCACGATAGTGCTCCTTGCTCTCCTTCCAGGACCACGCCTAGTCGCAGAAATGTTGATGGCCGAAGCCTATGATTTGTGGGACGAGGTGAGAACACAGCACAATTAACCTGTCGAATACCTCATCCAGGTGCTGCTCAATGAAGAAGACCCCAAGAGGACGGTGTAGGTCGGCTCTCTCCTAGATGACTGCCGTCGGGAAGAGTTTATGCAGCTACTAAGGGATCACGCCGATGTATTCGCCTAGTCGGCGACGGATATGCCAGGGATTGACCCCAAAGTCATCACACACAGCCTAAACTCCAACTCCCGCTACTGACCTATTAAGCAGACGAAGAGGAGCTTTGCAACGGAACAATGGCAAGTGATTGCGGACGAAGTGCATAAGTTGCTTGACGCTGACTTCATCCAAGAAGTCAAATACCCCAACTAGCTAGCCAACGTGGTGATGGTGAAGAAAACCAATGGAAAGTGGAGGATATGCATCGACGTCACCTACCTGAAAAAAGTCTGCCCTAAAGACAACTTCCCTCTACCGAGGATCAATCAGCTCATTGACACAACGGCAGGTCATGAACTCCTTAGCTTCATGGGTGCCTTCTCAGGGTACAACCAGATCCGAATGCACCCTGAGGACCAGGAGAAAATAATTTTCATCACCGACCGCAGCCTATATTACTACAAGGTGATGCCCTTTGGCCTCAAAAACGCTGACACCACTTATCAACAGCTGGTGAATGAGGTATTCAAGGATTAGCTTGACCAAAACGTGGAAGCGTATGTCGTCGATATGCTCGTGAAAAGCAAGAAGGCCGAGCACCACCTTGCCGACCTAAAGGAAGTCTCTGGCACCCTCAAGAAGTATCAGATGAAGCTGAACCCAACAAAATGCGCTTTTGGGGTCGGCTCCAGTAAATTCCTTGGGTTCATGGTGACGTAGAGGGGGATTGAAGCCAACCCAGAAAAAATACAGGCCATCCTCGACATGCAATCACTTCGGTCTCACAAAGAAGTGCAGTGACTCACCGACAGAGTAGCCGCCCTCAGCAGGTTCATGTCCAAATCCGTGGACTGGTGCCTACCCTTTTTCAAAGCCCTTAAGCGACCAAAGGACTTCCAATGGACCGAGGAATGCGAACGGTCCTTTCAAGAACTGAAGTAGTACTTGAGCTCACTGCCTCTCCTCACCAAACTGAGCCCCGAGGATGAGCTACTGCTCTACCTCTTGGCGGGGGATGAGGTCACCAGCTCGGTGCTAGTCAAAGAGGAAGATCGGGTACAGAGGTCGATTTACTACACTAGCAAAGTTCTCAGCAGCACGAAAACCCGGTACTCCAATTTGGAAAAAATGGCCCTGGTACTGGTTACCTTGGCTAGAAAGCTCAGGCCATACTTCTAGGCCCACAGTATCCGAGTACTCATTGACCCCTCAAGCAGGTCTTCC